TTGTATGTTCCAGGTGAATGAGCTGCTGATCTGAATCAATGAACTACAAGGGATGCATGGAGGATTCACAAAGACATTTATGAATACTCCTTTATGTGAAATTGTGCTTGTTGCAATCCCTGAAAATTTTGAAAAAAATGCTTTAAAACTCGAATAAATTCATTTGCTTTACTTATCTGCTGTGCTGCTTTCATTTTCCACGCACACCACCCTTTTTTTCATTTCCCCCGTTAAACCGCCACCCTCGTTAAACCGCCAAAATTTGCTGGAACAAACGTTGGCGGTTTAACAAGGTTTGACTGTACCTGCATCCCACTTTTCTGCCTTGATTTTCCGGGGAAAAATGTGTGTGTGGTACTTGAGTAAAATATGGTATTACAGTACAAGAAAACAGATGATCAATATATGGGGCATCACGGTCACTGCACACTTGGATGATACGATAGATGCCTTCCGGAAATTTTATTAAGGTCAGAGCATGTCGTTTTATAAAATGTTCGACCTATATACAGTACGTAAACATACTGTATATTCACTCCGTACAAAATGTGTCAACCTTGTGTGTGTCTTTTTCTCCCTCTCTTTCTCTCTTACCTGTAAGGGTCGCGATCCAAGCTGGACGGACCCCGGTAAAGATCTCTTTCGGCGGAAAGTCCCCCCCTGTAACCTTCGTCCTGCGAATTCAATTGGTTCCGCAAGTTGCGTTCCCTGCGCTCCTTCAACGCGACCAATTTCGAATTCAAGTATCGCAGCTCTTCCGCTATGTTCTCGATCAGCTCCACGTCCTTGTCCTCGCTCGGCCGGCTGTTGCTGCTGCTCAGCAATCTCGAAAGGAAAAGAACAACCGAATATATGATTTGATTGATTCACCCCCCTCGATCCGCCGTGTGTCCGGGTAATTTGACCGAAAATCCAGGCGGACTTGTACACTACTTTTGGAATAACTACATGCTGTGGGGGAAGGAAATGAAATTCTTTATGCTTTGGTTGGCTGACTGAACAGGCCTTGATTTCTGCACGCGTGACCGTCCGTATATAGAGAGATAGAGAGAAGAATTTTACGAGCCAGAATCTCATTATTTTCTCGCTTTCGGGTGTGTGTCTGAGATTCTCGTTTGAGATTATATAACTTACGCGGATGGCGTGCTTCTACACTAAAGCGCGAATTGATCTTATCGCAGCAGTGAAAAAATCGACGCATCTGCTGGGAGATTTCGAAATATGTATTGTACTCCTATTCGAGGTTCACAATAAAGCAGCTGCAAAGCCTTCTTGCTATATCCACCTGGTTATGTATACAGCAGTGTTCCTCAACCTTTTTGGGCCCGCGGATCAGCAAATTTTCATTAAAAATTTTTGCGGACTGGCAAAGTGAAAAATTTTTTGCAGACCCGTAAAAATTGTAGCTTGAAAAACTTTATGGTAGGGGTAATTTAAAAAATTCTGTTATTTTTCGAAATTAGGTTACAAGGCAGTAAAGCAACTACATAGTGGAATGTCTTCAAAAATTAGGGAGGTGGACTCACGAAGAATTATATGTAAAAATAATTTATTTTATCTGGTGAAAATTTGTATGCTTTTATTAGGAGAAAAGACCATTTTATTTATTTAAGGAACAATTTATTTTTCATGAGATAATTTTAACTGCCATTGTTTAGCCAAAATTTCAGATAAAGATATTTTAACATCCTTCATTGCTACATTTGATAAATTTATTATGCTGGAGAACATTTCTGGCAGACCGGCAAAAAACTTCTGAGGACCAGCACTGATCTGTGGACCACACAGGTTGGAGAACACTGGTAAGTCAAACCCTCTTACAATGCCTCAAGTCAGAAAAGCTTTTTTTTTTTTTGCTGGCGCCAAACAACCAGCTTGCTTTGCTACCAATTTTTGTGAGAAAATAAAGTGTTCGATGAAAAACTGATGGAAGGCTAGCATTCATGTCAGAAAGATATCTAGCTAAATGAGCAAGAGCTATGAAAAATATATCTAGAATGCTAAAAGTTCCAAGAAATGGAGAGGCAAATCAATTCAGCTGGGCTATGGCTGGGACTTTTGTCCTAGCATAACATTTTTGCATTAAGCAAGAAAAAGAGTAGCTTATTGAAAATCAAACTGTTGGACAAGATTCAAGGGTGGCAAATTCAAACAACACTTGTAAAAATGCGCAAGTTGCTCGCTCTCTCCATCAGAGATCAGCTCAAATCAACTGCATAATGCAGAATGTGTATAGAGAGAAGAAAAATCAGAGAACATATTTCTTCTTGGGATTAATTCTGGAGGTCAAGATCAAAAAAGTTTTGAAGTTTAGAAAATATGAGCTAGAAATTTTGTACCCGACGTATGACGCGCAACTTCTTATTTTCCTTTGTATTTTTGCGAGAGATAAAAAAGCAAAGTTTTGAGGCTTTAGAAAATGAGCTGGAAAATTTGTACCCGTTCATCACTTGAATTTGATCATCATTGTAGAGAGCGATTCCACCTACAAAATAAATGCATTCAGTTCTCGTATAACGGCTTTGTTTTGATTTTTTTTTACGATGAACCAATTGTAAAAGAAAAAGATCTTTTTTTTTTACACAATCCTGGATAATAAGTATAGTGTGCAAACTGGAATTTATCAAGCGTTTGTCATTCCTCAGGAACTCCGCAACATCGGTTCGAACAAAGCAACACTCATTTTCCTCGCCTCCCGCTTTTGCGCTCCTGTAAGAATGACATCATTTGTTTGTCCCCCCCTCACTTGTCCGGAATGACGCAATGGTCGGAAATCTGTTGTGTGTCCCGGGTTTTCCTCTCTTTTATTTTTATTTTTTGTTCCTTCGTACAAAACGAGACCCTGATTTAAACGGCCATAAAGCCACGCGTTGGCCTCACGCGAAATGGCGAGATTTCGACTTCTTAATCAGTGAGGCAGAAACCTGTACAGCGAACATCCGTACGGAAATGTTGCTCATATTTTTGAACAGGAGCCTCAAAATTACCCGGTGTTCTTCGGGTGGATATAGAATAAAAACGCATCGCATGCAATTTTGTTTCGAAACGATTAACTCGCTGTTCAAAATTGCTCGACTTGCGTGGACTTCCGCATTAAAAAAAAAGAAGAGGAAATCATCGACTATTTAAGATTTACGTGAAGTACGCTGATGCCTTTTTTGTGTTTATAATCTTGTATGGAGTCTCACCCTGAAAAAATAAGACAGGATTGAATATTATACAAGAAATATTTCATGCTCTGTTATTATTGTTGGGGACTGTGTAGCTTAGCGGTAATTAAATAATAAATAATTAACCCACATCCCACAAACGGGTGCCGGGGGTTAGAGAGCCCAGTAAATCCCAAAACCTGTACAACATCACTGCACCATTGTCATCTTTGAATTTGCCTCCCAAAGCCAATCAGAAACACAGAAAAACCCACTAAAGGAAAACCACTTTCCTCCTCTTACTTCTTTCTAAAAAAAATAAACACAGAATTAATTCTTTTGGCAATTCTTGAAGTGTACAGAGCTAAAAATCTTGCATTGATTATTCCTGGAAGATTTTTTTTGATTGTCTTGAGTGTGATTATGTTTTGCAAAAGTCACTGACGAGTTGCTAAATTCTGTGTTGGGACTTGAATAAATCAAAAGCTTTTTTGAACTTTATAAAGAGGCTCCCAGCCTGTCCACGGCTGTTAGTTGTGTTTAATTCATTATTTTCATCCTATTTTCTTTGTTCAGTTACTCTGTCTCTATTAGTCATGGAGTACATAATTATAACACACATGATAACATAAAAGCGTTTCAAACTAAAGAAATAAAAAAGCAATAGACAAGAAGGGAAGCATAAACATTTCATATTCTGCATTTAATTTTATGTTTAAATTTACAAATTGAAGATGTTCAGATTTTGCGCAGCAGAGCAAAGCAAAAAGATTAAGCATTATATGCTGCAGAATTTGTGAAAATTTTAAGAAAAAATGTGAAATATATAAACTAACAAAACATGAAAATTGTCTCAATGCAAATTGCAGAACATTATGAGAAGATACATTTTGAGATACCACTGTATGATCCATTATTGAAATTCCGCATTACTAAATTTTGATGGTTGGAATTAAAATTAACTACATACAGCAGGATTTTGCTACAACAATAAATCTTGTTAAAATAATGTATTGCATAGAAAATGTTTACAAGGTTCACAAATACTTCATCCATGGTTTTGCTAGAATACATGAAAACTTTCATGTGTACATTTTATACACTATGTCCTCAACTTTTGTCATAATTCCTCAACCACTTCCACCAGCAGCCAGAATTCGAACTGGAAATTTTGTTGAAGATCATATTTTTCAGGATACATTTTTATGGACAATTTTCCATTCCAAACAGATTAACATTTTCCAAAAAAAGTTACATTAATCCATCTCGTGCTGTATAAATCCAGAAGACGTCACAAAATACTGAATACACAGTTTTCGAGGCAATTTTTGGGGAATGCATGGGTTTTACTTTTTTTTTTAATTAAGGTTCAACTCACGGATCATTGTAGGAATTACTGCTGCTCTGAGTAGGGTGTCTAAACGAGCTCCAACGACCAGCTGAATCCCTGCTGCTGTCGTCAGACTTGCTGCTCGTCGTCACACCGTACCTGTCACTGTCTCGTACTTTTTCGGAAGTACTGAATGAGGTTGCACTTCGAAAACTGCCGACTTCCCGGTTGTTGGTTGCGGATTGGGTCAACCCTTCGACGTAATCGTGGGTTCCGGTCAACGGGCTCGGCGTTTCTTTCGATGGAGTGCTGTCGAAATGAGTTCAACTATTTGTAATGATTCATTTTCAAGAAACTCAACAGATTCAATCATTGGCTCGAATTATACCACAATATATAAGCGGGTACCAGCAGTGGAAAAATTGAGGTACCACATCGTTGTAAATAGTTGGGATTACGAGCATAAAAGAACACTTTGATTTTAAAATGTATCATAAAGGACAAAATTGAATAAGATTTCGATCAAAACATAGTAGAAAAACAAACTGACTGAGGTTTCAGGCAATGACAAAAAACAAAATGACGCTAAAGTTTAATTTCTCGTAATACCCCGCATGCTGCGTATGAAAAATAAATTTGAGATGATGGACAACTGAAATCTGTCCGAAACCCAGAAAGTGCCAATATTTGCAGAAAAAAGCAAATACCGTGCTTTATAATTCTCTTGGTGCAACCAAGAAAAATAGACCACTTTTTAAACACCGCAATAATTCTTGGGTAGGCCAGAACTATTTTTTGCAATCTTTCTCTCTCGCAATCCCGGGGAAGAAATCGTCGAAAATGTTAACGAAGTTCTTGAAATGAATCTGAATTATTATACTGTGCACAAACAGGTATGAAATCTATAGCATTTCCTGTTTGATATTGTTTGTATAGATGCCCCTGAAACTAAAAGCCATAAACTTCTGGAGCCAAGATTAGTACAGTAGCAATTTTCTTCCTGAATACATGACCACATACTGTATCTTCAAATTTGCGTTATGACTACTGTACATATGTACTTACACCGGTTATTTGTTTCTTTTCTTCAGTAAAATCATGGTACTGTACTCTTAATTCAGCACGGAAGATCACGAGAGAATTTTTGAAAATTCCCATACCGGGGAAATTTCCGGTATTTTTCGAAATTTATTACTCTATAAATGGAAAAAAAGGCTTCTGCTCGTGTCGAAGGCCTTTCGATAAAAAATATTTCCCACGAAACGCTTGCTTCCTTGAAAATTAGTCAGCAGTCGGTTGATGCTGGTCCAAATTTACTGGAATGTATAATTCCTGGTGAAGTTTTCATCAACTTTTTTTTCTCTTGAAAACAAAGTACAGAACAGGTATAAACAGTTGACCCCGCACAACCGACTTCATTTGTGCAATAGGCTAGTCTGTTTTGCGAATTCAACATTCATATAACTTTCAAATTATGCAAAACAAGTAAAATTACAACCAAAAGAACTTAAAAAACACAACACACACACATTCATAGCAATAATCATGACATTTCATATTCAAATTAATTTGGGAAGCAAAAGGGGGACCTGAGGAACTCATGTCCCCTGGTGTTGTGCTCTTCAACAACTGAAGTCTGTTGTACGGATTTGTCTGTTATTCAAGAGGATAACTTGACTGTATTTATTACTGTATTTATAACTGGGGTTGACTGTATTTTATTACACTTACTTTCTCGTGTCTTCTAAGGGCAATGGGTCCTTGAGAGGTGAAGGAGTGCCAGCATTGATGTCAGGCTCCAGATATCGATGTGGTTTTGTGTCTGATTCTGATTTTCCGGAAGCAGGTAATAATGAGGCAGGATGAACGTCGACAGGGTCAGAAAACACCAGAGCAGGTTTGATCTCTTCTGAGCCAAAACGAGGCGGGATTCTTGACTGGCTTTGCACAACAGCAACTCTTTGAAAAAAAATAAATTTGTTCGACGTTTAAAATTGCAGGACTTATTCCTCATTCGAAAAATTCGCAAATGAGGTAAAATTATATGGGGCTAGGGGTGATTTTTGCAGCACCGATGAAATTTCAATAAAAATGACACTTACTATTTCTAGGTGTCATGGCATAATGTAATTGTTGAATGGGAATGTGATTAAATTCTTCAATTTCACGACGGCTTTCACGTTTCCGGTTCTTGGTAATCAACAAAAATAGCAATTGCTTGAGCACTTGTACAGAAAGATTTCGGCCTATTTAATTAAGGGTTTTAATTAAGCTCAGATGACATTTCAAGAACAATGATATTTATTTCTAAGTTTCACGAAATAAAGTAATTTTCTGGAAGGAAATGTGATGAGGAAACTTTAATTTTACAAAGTCTTTCAAGTTTCTGGTATTGGAAATTAACAAAAAATGGGAATTGCTTCATCCCTCGTTCAGAAAGTTCTAAAGCTTTTCAATCAAGTTTGTATTTATGCACCTATGAAATTGAAAAGAAGACATTCACGTTTAAGTTTCATGGCTTAAAGTATTTTTTGGAAAGAACTGTGAATATAGGAAACATCAATTTTACCAAGTCTTTCAATATAAGCTTTTGTTTTATTTTAAATAACAAATATGGCAATTGTTTGATCCCTTGTTTAGAAGGTTTTAGTAATTTTGAATTAAGGTATCCAATATTCCATGAAACTAATCAATCCCGTAGCATGAAACTCTGGTAACAATTTTCATATACAATATTTAAAAAATGTATAATAGTGTACTTGATCAGCTTTGAAATTAGCAATCCAGAGATTCTTCAAAATTAGGCTGTGAATGCACAGGTGGTACCTTGCAATAGGACCCTAATCCATTGCTGGACTAGGGTCAAACTGTAAGACACTTTGTAAAATTGAGAAGTATGAGCACAAAAACGCAAAAAAATGACTGAAGCAGCAAGCAGGTCAAATTCCAGGGCAGGCAGAGGTGGAATTGCAACTCAACCTACCAGCAAATTTGACCATGAAATTGCAGGATGTTTAAATTGCAGGAGGTCAAATTGTGAGATACCACCTGTATATAGAGCACTGTTTGTTTTTTCTCTTTTTCTCGAAACCAAGTTGAATGCTGCAAATGTATGCAGTGTCACTGGAATAACAATGTACTCATATACAGTGAGACCCCCACATGTGGACGCCTTGACCTGCGGACAATTTGACATAGGGACACTTATTTTCCCAGAAAAAATTCATAAAAATGGCCCAACATGAGGACACTGACTTGACATAGGGACATTTTGTGATAGAATTGGAAATTCCTTTCAGGCCAAATTACAAGAAAGAGATATTTTCAACCCTGAAATTGATGTAAGAAACGTTCTTGGGAATTTCTCTCACCAAATTACCATCCATTTAGCTAACTTTAAAAAAAACCTCCAGCATAGAGGGACTTATACTTTTTTTCTTCACTTGAATGTTATCTTTGTAGATGCCAAAATTTCAGTGTACAGTACAGAGACACACTATTCAATGCTCCAAATGTTCTTATTGAGTTGAAAATGTATTCACTAATTCAAATTCAAGTGGCAAAGAATTTTTTCAGGGATTTCTGAAGAATATTTCTTCCACAAAACACCAATTAAAAATTATATAATATAAGTCTATGGNAATATTTCTTCCACAAAACACCAATTAAAAATTATATAATATAAGTCTATGGGAAAACAAGACTTGACTTAGGGACATTTTGACTTGGGGACACTCTTGATGCACCAATCATGTACGCATCTTGGGGTCTCACTTTTGATATTAAAATTAAATCTCATCTAAATTTGGGGTTGACAACAAATTTCCCGGGTAAATTACGTCTGAAGGAGAAATGCATAAATAAATGTGCTCTGAAAAATTGTCCTGCTTCCCATAAACCCAATTATATACGACCTTTGAAAATATGCCAGCGCACTTTTTTTAGCAAGACAAATTCAGCATTTCCTTCCTTCCTGGATTATGGAGATATGCGTACAGTATGTAAAATATAAAGATAACACGGAAAATTGAATAATCAAGATGCCGGTTCGAGATGATGCGGGAGCCTAATTTCCGCGTAGTATTCAGCGTCCGTAAACGAGAAACGCTTGGTCGCATTTTTTATGGGCGTTTCCCACGAATGGCTCAGTTGACAATGATTCGTCCGAGTGCGTTTACAGGGATTTGATTATAACTGAGACATTAAATTTTTGTCTCGGAATACAGTATTTCACCATTTTCTTCCATCGTCTTCCTCATCATTGAAGACTCCTCCATAAGCTAGAATTATTTTCACGAAGCAGCAGTTGGCAGCACGAATAAAACTTTATATGTTTCTCAATAAAATTTTTCGTAGGCTTTCTATAGCATTTTCTGTCTTTTTGGAGACTTCTTTATAGAGATATTCGAACCCATGAAAAATGTCGAGTTCTTTGTAAACAAAAGACTGTCAAAATAATCAGACTGGGTCATGTAAAATAATAAAACTTTCTGATTTTTTAAAATTTGGGCTTGAATCATCAGGTCAACAATGAAAAGATGAAATCATTTGAAATTTGAAAATACTGTACTGCATGACTCAATAATATGTTTAAAATCCCAATTTATTTGTTTGGGTTTTGGGGGTTGAAAACTTCATAAAGCACTTCGAGAATGTAATGAATATAGCATCCAAAAAATTGAAATCATATATAAAATCTGGATTTTTCTTATCCCCATTTGAATCCATTCAACTAACTTAGAATGAATGCATTTTACTTAAATTCTCCACCAAGATTCCTGAGAAATAACTAAAAATAATAAAAATACCCTGCAGCTGAGGCTATTAACTTGACTTTGCTCCTGTCCCTGGAATGAAAAGGTCATGATTGATCTTGATTTTTAAGAAATTTAGAGGCATTATTTATTTACAGACGACGGTATACCAAAATCGTTTACGTATTTTACTCAGGTCAACTGATTTTGCATGCGTGTATTACCTAATAAATGTTCTGAAACCCTGAATTTACCGCAAAACATAATTGTATATTCGATGGAATAAACAACTGATGACCGACTGAAGTGCCGTACACTGACACTTCATAAGAAATATTTTCTTGAATAGATTTTTCAAGAGCGTCAAATTTTGCAAGTGGACATATTATTTACAAAGAAATAACAAAAAGGAACGAACGCTTTTCTCAACATGACGATTGTCTTATTTCTGAGATAATTTGCCCACGATGAAGCGGCTCTTTGAAAATGCCCTTCGGATATGACACAACAACGCATTTCTGCAACCGCTGCGTTATTCAATGTAATTTTAGATATGGAACTCAACAAATAAATCAGAGCTTCCATTACACAACTCATTACCCCCAAGGGCCGACAAAAAAGAATGGGTGTACTGACGCCACTGAAAGATCTATCCCGATTTTGATCTCTTTAGAAAAATTGTCTCGGTTTGTCCACAATGAGAAACTGTAAATCAAGATAATATTAATCAGAATGTCTTGAGGGCATTGTGTTTAAAGAAAGTATATAGGAGAACAATTGCGAAGGTTGCATTCGCTGTTACGCCAGCAGTTGAAAGCTCGAGCAACACGAAGACAAGTCTGCTTGATAAAGATCGAGAAAACCACGTGACATTGAAAACTTCATGCTGTTTTCATTCGGAGGAAATTACGCATGGAAATTACTTTTGTAAAAATAAAAAAATATAAAACATACTCACAGGCCAATTAGAAGTAGGCTCAACGGAAGCAAACGAGGAAGCATGATATTATTTATATCCCGACACAATACGCACTTTCCGCAGCAGGAGGAAAAGAAAGAATCACAAACATAATTAGAAAAGAAAGTGTCATGCATAAAATGCATTAATTGTACTGTAGTCATAAATGTGAAGGTATGACTGATTTCCTTCAGAGTGTAACGGAAATATTCGAAATTTAATGAAATTTTGAATAATAAAAATGTGGGACGCTGAGGGAAATTTGCGCACGAGTAATGATTTAAAAGTTCTGCCACCACAAAAAACCCATTAATATAGGTTTTATGGGTACTGTTCTCGTTCCTTTTAGAATTACTATGGTTCAAACCACCGTGAGATCCATAATAATAACCCTCAATAAAGTAAGCCTCTCACTTAATTTTGAAAAAAAAATACGCTCATTTCTTTTGGAAATCTCCTCGTTGAAAAGTTTTTTTCCGTATGTTTGCACTGATTTCCATTAATACATAATTGGAACTAAAGTAGTACAGTATGTTTTAGGCATATCCGCCTCAAAGTATTACAAAAAATGTAACTACATGCAACACCTTGAAGAGTACTGCAACAAATGTAACTGCAACAAATACATATTAAGCGTATCAAGTTTTTCTTTAAAACACATATCTCACACATTTTCCGTGCACAATCCATCCAATACAGGTGTACTGTAATTTAAGTTACAGTACACCCATTTCTTATTCAACTGTAGCAGGTTGGCATTTTTCAATGACAGCCAGCTACAAAAAGCAGTTGTTTTGCTACCCAAGCCAGCTACACATAGCAGACAGGCATTTTAAAATGCCTAGCAGCAATGCATAACAAAAGTCCTGAGTAGGTATAACATGTTACACATAGAAGACAGGCATTTGAAACACGTCTGACATACATCTGCTATATGTAACATGTTACACCTACTCAGGACCTTTGTTATGCATTGCTGCTAGGCATTTTAAAATGCCTGTCTGCTATGTGTAACATGTTATAACTACTCAGGACTTTTGTTAAGAGTTATTGCAGCTAGGCATTTTAAAATGCCTAGCAGCAATGCATAACAAAAGTCCTCATACTTATGTACTTATGCATAACATAAGTACTCAGGACTTTTGTTATGAGTTATTGTAGCTAGGCATTTTAAATTGCCTAGCAGCAATGCATAACAAAAGTCTTGAGTAGGTGTAACATGTTACACATAGCAGCTGGATGTGTCAGACACATTTCAAATGCATTTTGCAACCCCAAATTATTTGCTGGTTAATAAGCAATTTCACTGGGATCTGCAACCACAACAACAACAACAAATCAACACAAAAACTTCCAGAACTCTCGCGCACAACTTCATC